AGTTTCAGGATCATTTATAGTCCCGGGGATGCTCAACCCCAACCGAGTTTCAGGATCATTTAATGTCCCGGGGATACTCAACCCCAAACTAAATCCTTACCAAACCCTAACCTGGATATGGCTAACCTTTCGTTCCTTCAACTATGGACAATACCTAGCCCTATAGTCATATAACCAACCTTAGGAACCAACGTGGGCGGGTCCAACCTGAACGTCCCACATTAACCCGCTCAAAACTGCCCATTTTGAGCATAACCCAATACTCGATCGAGTATAAACCCATACTCGGTCGAGTACAGGAGACAGTAGTCCACAAAGCTAATTTTCAAAAAATACCCGGTCGTGTATGTGTCAATACCCGGTCGGGTATGACAGTTGACTTGTCGGTCAACGCCCGTTTGACCAACCAAACGGAGTCCGATTAACGTGAAATTTTATACACATATAATCCTTGACGTCCTTGATCCAAAAATACCATTTTGGATCCCTGGAACATCACACATAATAAGTTATCACACTTTTAATCACCAAACCTACATAACATGCTTTTCAACTATGTTTTATGTATAATCATGGCATAAGCAAACACTTGGTTATCTTTACTCATTTAATAAAACATATCCTTGATTACTTTAGGTGATCTCATGCCTCACGCAAAAGTTATAAAGCATAAAGCCATCTTCTCACCTTAATGAAGCTTATGAAGTTCTAGCCTTCCCGATTTAGCTCCGGCGAAACTCCGGCGAACTTCAACGAACTCCGGCGACCCTTTCAACTCTGTGAAAGTTCCTCGAATACCTTAGACAAGTTACTAACAAGTTTTTATCATCATACAACCCATAGTAATACAAATAACCTCAAAAAGGTTATCTTCCGGTGAACCGGTCACTTTGGCTTCTAAGTCCATTCTTGGGCTTAGAACCACCTTCCAACCCCTCATTCTACACCTTCTAACGTGTAGAACAATCCTAGGGTGTGCAATATGATTTAATAATCGTATAAGATGATTAAAGAAAACGGAATGGGGTTAATGGAGTCCTTACCTTGCTAAACACAAGTTTTCCTCTCCAAAACCAACTTTTCCTCTTCTCTTTTCCCCTTCTTCTTCCTCCTTAGCTCAAGTGCGTAAATGACTGCAAAGAATGGAGTATTGCAGAGCTTCTCTCACCTCTCTTGTGGGATGGCCGAACTGATTGGAGGTGGGTGGAGGGAACCCCTCACTTTTGTCTCAATAGACCAAAATAATGTGAGGAGGGGCCCTTGGTTGGTTTGATTGGTCTCCTTATCAATCAGCTTGATATTTTCCATGCTTGCATGCGGCTCCCCTTGATATTTTCCAGACCAAGGACGTGGGTTGGCCCCCACTTATGTGGGAGGTCAACCCTTTGTGTACCCGAGTGTTCAATCGGTCCCGAAAGTTGTATTTTCCGGACTGTTTTAAGTATATTTTATTTTATCGGGTCAAATAAAATATAACACTTGTTCCCAATCCTTATTGGACCTTAGAATTAATATGATTTCCCAACTTGAATTTAGAAATCTCCGGAATCCCTTTTTGGGCTGTTATCTGATAAATTGCCGATACCGATAATTTGGCCCCGTTTGACCAACCGGTCAACTCTATGCCATTTCCATGGCCCAATTAGGATATCCATCACCATATACATATTATCTAGTCCAAGATTAATATAATATGTGGTCCCGATAATATCGGGCGGCCCCACATCCGGTGTGGGCCCCACGTGAATTTTACTATTCACGTAATAGAAATGATAAAAATTTACAATCTCGTAAAAAATGCTTTTATACATTTCTCAAGGTTCAATACATAATTTGGTACAGTACAAATACTCGGGGGCGGTGTTACATTATGCACGCAAAAGAAATGTTTTTGATACCAAGTCATACATTTAGGATATAAATTTAATATTTTAGATTGGATATTTAATTTTAATTTTTATATGTTGAGACTTGAGATTGAAGTGATTTTAATTTTTATATGTTGAGACTTGAGATTGAAGTGATTTTAATTTTTATATGTTGAGACTTGATATTGGAGTGATTTGTTTTCATTCATTTGTTTATTTATAGGCATATCACGAGTCATGATGAAGATGGTGAGTTTATGCTTCTTATTATGGCCGGGATCACTATTCATGATAGAAATGATATTATTGCGTCCCATTATTACAAACATATGTATAAGGAGCCTTGCATGACATCAGCTTTAAGTGGGGAGGCTTGGATGCAAGAGGTGTTCAATGGTCATCCTATTCTTTGTGTTAATGCCTTTAGGATGTCACCAGATTTATTCACGCACCTATGTAAGGATTTGCAATCAAAATATGATTTAACATCATGTGACAAAATCACATTTGAAGAAAAAGTAGGTATATTTATATACACTCTATCTTTGGGCCTTTCAAATCGGGATGTGGCTGAGAGGTTCCAAAGATCTGGAGATACCGTAAGTCGAGCATTTCATGATGTCTTAGAATCCGTCACAGGTAGGAGTAAGGGATATAAGGGACTTGCACGTGATATGATTGCACCAATCGACCGAGCCTTCCCGTATATCCCTTATCATATTTTTAAGGATAAAAGATATATGCCATATTTCAAGGATTGCATCGGGTGTATCGATGGAACACACATAGCTGCATGTGTGTGATTTCAACATGTGTTTTACATTTCTATCAGTAGGGTGGGAGGGATCAGATCATGATACACGTGTATTCCTTCATTCTATAGAGACACCGTCATTGAACTTTCCACATCCACCTGAAGGTATGTTTTATTGTCAATTTATTAAACTCATAGTCATAATTTTAATCATATTTTTAAAATTTATGTAGGTAGATGTTACTTGGTGGATAAAGGCTATCCGGATCGAAAAGGATATCTTGTTCCTTATCCCAAGCTACGATACCACTTGGAGCAATTTGAAAATGAAGCACCAACAAATGCTCAAGAAGCTTTCAATCGCTCACACTCATCTCTTCGTAGTTGCATAGAGCGTTCTTTTGGGGTTTTGAAAAAGAGGTGGAAGATCTTATCAAGAATGCTTATGTTTAGCGTTAAAACGCAGATAGATGTTATTATGGCAACATTTGCTTTGCACAACTATATTCGCAAATTCTCTAGTGATGACATGATATTTGAGGTTCTCGAGTGTCATCCATATTTCATACCACGTGATGATCTTGTTGGCATTCAGAACTCAACTTCAAGTGTCATCAATTCACAAACAGAAAGCTGCACTGAGATGAAGGAACTTCGAAACAATATAGCATCCTTGATATGGACTAACAGAAATTAAATATTTTCGCTCTTATTAGTCAATTATGGTGACGTTCACGTTTACATATTTATTTATTACAACTATTTCCAACTAAAATGTTAATTTTATGGTTTTTTATTTTGTATGGTATGCACAAATGTTTTTTTTTTAGAATTCAATGCACTATGGTGTGTTTGTGTGTGTATCTTGTGATGTGTTGTGTTGTGTTGTATTAATTTATATTATACTACCTCCGTCCCACTAACATTGGGACATGAAAATGCGACACGGTTATTAAGAAAAGTAAGTTTATGTGTTTGATATTGTATTTATATAGTAAGAATAAAGTAAAAATGATTCCAAGTCACACACACAAACTTTACCAAATTTCGTATGAGACGGTCTCAGTGGGATTTCCTGAAAAAAGAAAAAATGAGACATTCTTAGCAGGACGGATGGAGTATTGTATTATATTATATTATATTATATTATATTATATTATATTATATTATATTATATTATATTATATTATATTATATTATATTATATTATATTATATTATATTATATTATATTATATTATATTGTATTGTATTATATTATATTATATTGTATTGTATTGTATTATATTATATTATATTATATTATATTATATTATATTATATTATATTATATTATATTATATTATATTATATTATATTATATTATACTATACTATACTATACTATACTATACTATACTATACTATACTATACTATACTATACTATACTATACTATACTATACTATACTATACTATACTATACTATACTATACTATACTATACTATACTATACTATACTATACTATACTATACTATACTATACTATACTATACTATACTCTACTCTACTATACTCTACTATATTATATTATATTATATTATATTATATTATATTATATTATATTATATTATATTATATTATATTATATTATATTATATTATATTATATTATATTATATTATATTATATTATATTATATTATATTATATTATATTATATTATATTATATTATATTATATTATATTATATTATATTATAAATATATATATCGTTACAATAAATATATTTTATTCTATTAATAATCATGTGTCCTTTAATGTAATTTCATATTATCCCTGCACTTGTTCAGCTCTTTTTGCCAAACGAGTTTACTTCATTCAGCTAGCAATTCAGATTCAGCACTTTCAAATTCAGTTCCAGACAATAGTTTCTGTTTCAGACAATACACCCTATTTCAGACATTAGACTCCAGTTCCAGCTTGTTGTGCCAAACATAGGCTAAGAGTCCAAACTTCACAAGTTTGAATAAGCTGAATGTCCGGTATAATACCTTGACCGGCTTGACACTCTTTTAACTCTAAAGTTACGATCAGCCTCAGTAGAATTTGCTTAAAACGTTTTCTAAAGTAAGATGAAGCCCGTCTTCGGATTTGTTTCACGATTATTCTTGCATATACGCGTGACTTAATTATGTCTCAATTTCCATAAGATAACTTCAGAAAACTTTTCCAAACTCTTCAAAACGACCTCAATTTGTTAAATAAATAAACATGAATATAGTGACAGGTTTGAAAATGAGTTTCAACCCTAATTACTCAAAGTCCTCCAGATAACTTAAAACAAAAAGATGTTGATTAAAAAGATAACCTAATATTACTCCGTACTTCGTTTACTGTCATCCCATCCTGCTAGGTGAGTGTCGTTCCCACCATAAATGTATATAAGTGACAAATTTCCTCTCATCGTTTGTACAAGAAGTCATTCTCATTCAAATAATAATAGAATAAAAACAAAAACATGGGAATTTTGTTGTCTTACGATTCAAGTACCATAAAATTTTGTTGTTTTACATAGGAGGTGATTGATTAAGTATATATTGGCTCCTTGATATAATACCAAAATCCACTAATGTGCCCGGCCTGAATCAGCTTCTCAAGCGATTAGCAAAATAAGCTAGAGGGCCCACAACGCAAGCATTAATATATGTAGCAGGTTCCGAATGGCTGTAGTCCGTCCGATCATCCGGAAAGTTGTCGTCTTGATCTGGACCCCCAACGATGGCTCCGGTTAAGATGTTCGGGTTTGGGTCTGATGCCGAAAAGAATGATTCAAAGCCGTGACAACCATCAGAGTTCGAATGTGTTTCCGTTGATGGAATGGAGGATGCCCTGTGGTGGATCCTTTTTGGATAATTTGGCCCATACCCGACCATGTACGACATTTTCAATGGATTGTCTCCCAAAATGTAGTCCACCTAACATTTTCAAAACGTAGTATATATATCAGCAATCAGGATATTTCTTGCTTTTTTTTTTTTGCATTAGATCACTCTCCAAACAACTTAAAAGAGTTAAGAATCCATTCAAAAGTTGAAAAATTGTGGGACAGTGAGGGTCCGGAGGGTTTTAAAAATATATAACCCCTTTCATAATAAGAGTTTTTTTCCAGAATAATGCTAAATAAAAAAGTATTTTCGAAATTAGGATCTGGTTAAAACTATTTACCAAAATACTGATGCAATAAACTATGGTTAGAGAAAGCCGCCAAACCATTTGCCGACTCTCTAAATAATACGGAGCAAGTGCGTAGAAGAACTAGGCAAGCTTCGTCGGAGACTAATAGTTTACGAAAAGGTGGGGCCAATGTAGAAGAAATCCCTTTTTTAAATCCGGTAGGCAAACCACCAAAATCAGTGGGACAAATGCCGGGGAACATTTGTCGGATATTATTCCAACTCAAAAACGATCATAACAAACTGAGAGGGGACCAAACCAAAACCTCGATCTCCAAAGGGCATTCCCTTTCCACCAGAAGATTACTACAAATTTGCAAACAAAAAAAACTAAGTATCTAAAAGTAAACATAGGGAGTGGAAGCATCCAACCGTATGACCCCATTCAGCCCATCTAGGATCCGATCGCCTAATTTCCAAGAAAAACTCCCACCCGAGCCCAGTTTTGCAGCCCACCAAGCAGCTTTGTTTGATTGGGCCGGAATCTCTCCCCACTTTGGATCCAACCCAGCCTCGTTCGCATAAGAAACACAGCGATCCAGCATCTTCGAGTAAGCAACATCAACCTCCAAATTAGTCACCTGTAATTCGTTTATCCACTCCAGCGCTTGTCGAAACACTTCACCTTCCAAATCTGTAGAACCGCTAAGAGGGAAACCATGTGCCGCCACCAGAGAACCTGCATGGTCCCTTAAAAGAAAGCCGACCGACGATTTCCCATTCTGACGATACACTTCCCAGTTCGATTTCATGAAGTTCCTCCTTGGTTTAGTCCATCTGCCGATCTTAGGTCTCGTCTTCCCAAATTGGCGAGGTAATAAGCCCTTATTCTTCAATAATGGTCCTCCGGTCAGATTTCTGTGTGCATAGCTAGCTCCAAGAAATCATATACTTAACGATATTATGTATAAACATTTCTTTCTCAGGAACTTCATCTTCCCAAACTGCCTTGCAGTAGGATTTCCACAGGTGCCATGTAATTACACCCGGTAAAATTTGCTTAAAAATCTCATCCATGCTTTTTCCTTTCACAGAGATCCACCATTTCATCAATTCAAGTTTTATGTGATTTACTTCGCATCCTCCCTGCAGAAGTATTCCTTCATAAAAATTCCAGTCGGATCTGGCCAGCGAACAAGAAAGCAATACGTGATCAGTATCTGCTCCTGCACATCTACAAAACGGACACCGGGATGGGTAAGCAACTGAAAAGGCCGCATAATTTTCCGGGAAAGGCAAACAATTGTGCCAAAGTCTCCATAAAAAAACTTTGATTCTGGGTACTTGCTTGCCATTCCCCAAGCGTTGAATTCTACCTGCAGTTGTATGTTTTCCAGCAACAAAACAACTCTTTTCCTTATTAATCAATTGGCCAGTAGCTTTTTGATAAGTTTTAACAAACTTGTTAAATCTTTTAATTGACTTAGATGATCCATTAAGAAAAACTATTAAATCATCCGCAAAAGCAAGGTGGGAGATAAAGCCAGCCCGACCTATATTGAATGGCTCTATTTCTCCAGCTTGAAATAAATTGTTAATTCCTCTAGAAAAAGCTTCTGACATAATGATAAAGAGCAATGGAGAAAGAGGATACACGTGGTACCCAATAAGGCTGAAAATAGCCATAAGGTACCCAATTTATAATGATAGAGATAAACGTGGCCTTTAAATTCCCCATTATTAGAAGCCGCACATGATTAGAGAAATCAAACTTAATCAAAATAGCATCCAAAAAACTCCATGCAACCCGATCAAAAGCCTTCGCCATATCTAATTTGACAAGCAACCAAATTAGAAGCACGAACTTTTCTGTCTAGATTATGAAGCATCTCCATTGCAACCAAAACATGCTTATGAATTTCCCTTCCTTTCATAAACCCTTATTGCTCCCTTGAAATAATTTTTGGCGGGATCACTGACAATCTTGAAGCAAGAATCCTCGTATTAATTTTACTCATGAAAGTATACAGACATATATTTCTCCCTGTTTGACTCCTCGATAAGGCTGAAAATAGCCATAAGGTACCCAATTTATAATGATAGAGATAAACGTGGCCTTTAAATTCCCCATTATTAGAAGCCGCACATGATTAGAGAAATCAAACTTAATCAAAATAGTATCCAAAAAACTCCATGCAACCCGATCAAAAGCCTTCGCCATATCTAATTTGACAAGCAACCAAATTAGAAGCACGAACTTTTCTGTCTAGATTATGAAGCATCTCCATTGCAACCAAAACCTGCTTATGAATTTCCCTTCCTTTCATAAACCCTTATTGCTCCCTTGAAATAATTTTTGGCGGGATCACTGACAATCTTGAAGCAAGAATCCTCGTATTAATTTTACTCATGAAAGTATGTAGACATATAGGCCTGAAATCCCCAAATGAAGTAGGATTTTTCTTTTTAGGGATAAGTACCATATTCACACTAGCAACCCCCTTTGGAACCGGAAATCCCATGAAAAATTCATGTACTGCCAAAATAACATCATGTTCAATAATGTCCCAACACCCCTTATAAAAAGAACCATCAAAGCCATCCGGACCAGGAGCTGCTTCAGCACTGAGACTCCATATAGCCTCTCGAACCTCTTTTTCATCTGGCAGAGCTATAAGAGTATCATTATCAACCTCATGTAAAAGAGAAGGGATATTACATAATAATTTATCCTGAGAGCTTGTCTGCTGAAAACCATAAAGGTCTTGAAAGTAGTAAACAACCTCCTTCCCTATCTCTTTAGAATTGTACTCCCACTCCCCATTGGGCTTTTTTATAGCTTGAATATGTTGTCTTCTAACTTTCTCTTTAACAGCCTGGTGAAAGAACTTCTAATTTGCATCTTCTTCTTTAATCCATTTTACTCTAGATTTCTGGTGTCAATAAAGTTCCTGATGCTTGGCTCTTTTAAGTAATTCTGCCCGAGTCTTGTGACAATGGGCTCGAGTGGACTCGGACAGATTTTCTTCAAAATCTTTTTTCTTTAAATGACTATAACTTTCATATGACACAAATATGTAATATATAAAGTGTCAAAAAAATCTGAATACCATATGGGGTAAAAAAACTAATTGCAACTATCCACCGTCAATAAACTTAGTTCTTTACCAGTTTAAATCAAAATTTTGTATTCACTCCGTAAACTCAATTTTTTCTTACTAATACCATCAATATAACACCCAATATAGGTTTTAGTTAAATTCTTACACTTTTTAATCTGCATCAACTTTTACAAAAAAAAATGAATATTCGATTGTCTTGAGGTTTTTAAGCTCAAATTTTTCATAAGCAGATCCAAGGGTTAAAATTAAAATCTCATCATTATTTTATGGGAAATTATCGAAGACCCCCCTTGAAGTTTGATGCATTATCACTCACACTCCCGCACTATCGAAAACATGATCTGACCCCCTCCTTATCCTTTAATGATGGTTAAATAACTTTTAATCTACATTTAGAGAAAATTATAGATATAACTTCATAAATTTTCACTATATCCACTTTTAATACTATAATTTTATTTAATCACAAATCTGGTCAGGTAATTAATAAATTTGTCTATACTAAACATCATTCTATCGGAAGTTGAACCGAATAAAAATGATCAAAACTGACATCACTATAGGTAGTTCAATTTACGCCTTTGAATTTAAAAGTGAGTAAATTTATTCAACTGAAATCGACCAAAGTATGCTAAAATTGACAAAAAAAAATTAAACAAATCAACTTAAATGAAATAAACCTACCAAAAATGAAGTTTACTACTCGATTTCACCCATTTCAAAATTTACCATTAAAAATTGGGCAAATATATTGAAATATTTAACTAAAAACTATATTGAATAAATATATTTAAAAATTGAATTGATAGGGTGAATACATAATTTTGGTTTAAACTGATTGAGAATTAAGTTTAATGACAATGAATTATTGCAATTAGTTTTTTCATCCCATATGGTCTTCATATTTTTTTTAAACTTTATATATTACATATTGGTGTCATATGAAAGATCACAAAAAGTTATAAAATTTGGTATATGTACGGGGTGTTACAAAAACTTTATACTATATGTTTTTAAAAAATTGGAGCAAAAATATGAAAGTTATTGCCATTTAAAGAAAAAAGAGGATTTCTTCTATATTGACCTCACCTCTTCCCATACGTGTTAGTCTCCCGGCCAAGCTTGCTTCCCTTGTACGCACTTTCTCCGTATTATTTAGAGAGTCGCCAAACGGTTTGGCGGCTTTCTCCGACCCTAGTTTATTCCATCAGTATTTTGGTAAATAGTTTTAACCCGACCCTAATTTCGTAAATATTTTTTTATTTAGCATTATTCTGGAAAAAAACTCTGATAATAATACTGAAATTGACTAAATCTGTTGAATTATGATGAAATTCTGTTTAGAATATACTTAATTGATAAAAAGTAAGAAAATTTTATGTAAAAATAGAAAAAATGGTGTTATAGACCAATTTAAACCAATTCAGGCCGAAAAGTAACTTCAACCTTACTTATTTTTATAATTACACAATTTTACACGCGAAATTAAAAGTTATGTGTTTGGTAAAAATTACTCCCTCCGTCCCCTTGTTATTGTCCCATTTCCTATTCACTTGGTCAACACAAATCACTCTTAATCTCTTACTTTATGTATCAAATTTTTATCAAATTTGATTTTGGTTTTTGCGACTTTGTAAATCTTTTAATGTAGTTTCTGAATATGTAATTTTCTTTTTCTAA